AGGTTTTGTAATATTTTACCTCTCTCCTTTAACAGGCATGTCTCCTGCTAATGACCTGGTGCTGTCAAAAGTCGTCCATAAGGCTTTCGTGGAGGTCAACGAGGAGGGAACTGAGGCTGCTGCTGCCACCACCGCTGCTTTCATGACGCCGCGCTGTGCCATGCGTACACCCACCTTCATCGCAGACCACCCCTTCCTCTTCTTCATCCGACACAACGCTTCCAATAGCATCCTCTTTGCTGGCCGATACTGCTCCCCTGAGTGAGCGCCGTATCGTTTAGAGCAGTGTTTCTCAACTGGGCTGGAAGAGTGTAGGACCATTTTCCAGCAGGTTCTGTGCTTTTGTGCTCTATGTGAACCTCCTGCACCTGTGTTCTGTAGACCCAGTTATGCATGTCTTGTGTGTACATGTAGATCAATGTGTAAGAGAGTGTGTCCTCTACTGCAATGAGTCGCTGTTTAAACACATTTAAACTGCAATAGTGTCAAGTTATGTTCGGTATCACTGGAAGAATGTTGAGAATAATTGCTCTAGAGTTTCTTATTGCTAATCACACGCTGAGTTCCCGTCCGATATTTCCAACACCCGGATTATGAGTAAAAACATCGGTGTTGGATTTTCTAAACCTGTGGCTTCCATTTGTGTCACTTATCACATGAATGGTTCCGAATTTTTCCTGTGCCTTGAACATTCAGTTCTTGCACTGTGTAGCCTCATCTCATTGTTTACTTTATGTCTGTAATGCACGTATGGCCCTATTTGCTGCAGTCTTACACTCGACCCTGATTTATTTCACCCATATTGTCTAGTTCATGTTATACCTTACAGCCTTTAAAAGAATGTAAGTTTATATTGTGCCTTTGTCACCCAGCAGCTGTACCTTTTGGCTAGAATAGTCTCTGCACTTTATCTACAAAACAAGCAGTTTCACTGTTTTATATTTTTGCTTGACCAAAAAGAATGAAGTGATTCAATGACAATACCGGATGCATGTCTTTGATAGTTATGTCAAGTGCAGTTACATGTAACTGTACCGTTATGCACAGAATAAAAATAGATTACAAATAACGAGAGCTTAGTGAAGCTTTGAACTGGCTTTGAGTGCAGGTCCTTTTGATGTATCCCTATGTTTTTACGCATGGAATAAAAGTGTGTGGTTTGCAACGATTGTGTGTCACACTTTGTAATCCAATAAGCATAATGTGATCAGTAACTCTCATGAATGTGATCAGTAATGGCTCTATCCAATGAAGGCTAAGAATGATTGCAACGATTACTGATGAAAAAATAACAATTAATCAGTCTATGATGTCTGTCGACATTAAATTCAGGTTTATGTATACCAGTTCCCACAGGTCCACCATCAGGAGATTTCAAACCATCTTGATGTAGTGTCAGGAATCTATGGACCTGTCTTTTTCAAAAGATTAAAACCTCTTGTTTTTTGAACTTCTACACGAAGACTAAAATGAAGATAGAAATACATTAACACCACCTACTGTACAGGAATAAGAACTTTATTTGAAGGGAAAATATCCATCCATCCCTTATCTTTGCACCGCTTAATCCTCACTGGGGTCGTGGGGGG